ATACTTTAGAAGGGTTGTCACAGACTTATACGCATTTAACAAATAATTTTACATTACGTATTACACTTATGACGTAACACACGACAGACTGGGGGGAAAGGGATTGTTAGTAATAGAGACTGAGAATCCCATTGCTAGCAATATACCCAACCAGGTGGACCTACTCGCGGTTCTCCCTGGAAACTATCATGGTTAATTCCTAATGAATTCATCATGATGGGCTAACTGGTCTGTTTTCATTCTCATCTATCACCCTTCACTGGTGCTCCGCCAGCGTATCCCGTTAGCGCAGGCGGGGTTACCATACCATTTTCACACATTGAAAAAAAAAAACACACGACAGACGTGCGAGAGAGCAAGATCCAATCTTTCACTGCGGTATATGTTGCTTGTTTGTTTTCAAGCCTTGACTCATTTTGCTCTTTTCTTCTTCGACTCTCGTGGGCCATCAGAGTTCCAATTAATTCATTACTAGTGATCCAGCCTGACTTCGTACAGGTAAATTGGTTTTCCGAAAATAGAATGTAGAATGAAAATAGAAAAAAATAGATGATAATGTAGCTTTCTATAGGTGAAAGAATTTTAAAATCGATTTGTTAGCTTTTGGGTTTATCCATTACAAACTATTCTCTTTCTAATATAGACCAATTCACAGCGTGTATACCTAGATATCCTTACCTCCAGGCTACAGAAGTAGAAATTATTGTCATGAGCAGACTTTCTTCTTTAGTGGCGCTGTAGACTTAAGTCGGACTTGTGACACGCCCCGGCGATTATGCTAATAGTTTAAAACTAACGTTATGCTTCCCATGTGGAAATCCCTGTAACGTAAATCTCCACCAACTTTGGCAATCATGCAATGTCAACAAGACATTTGTAATTATAATTGGTAGTGATTATTATTTATGAAATGGGACAATTTACAACATTTGCACTATCAAACGACCGAAACTAATTATATTATGATATTTAACGATTAATATATTTAAACAATGATAATACTCATTCAACCATTTTTTTTTTTATACAACTTAGAATGGCAAACAAGCTGACGGCCCACCTGACTGAAAGTGGTAACCGTCGCCTACAGACATGAGCAGTATCATGGACATAACAGAATATACTGTTTCGCCCATGATACCCCCCATGCGTTGCCATTCCTGAGGACTCAGGTGTTATTCCTCTGTACCTAGTAAATTCACGCCATATCCCACCCTTCAAACCGAAACATAGCCATGCAAGCACAACTGCTTCACGGTTGAAACACGAATGGGACAGAGGTACCCAAGCAATCGACTTTTGTACAAAATCTCCCTCTGCCAATTCATATGTCTAAGATTATTAAGCTGTTTTTAATTTCTAAACGTAATATCGTTTGTACGTTGTATCGCTTGCAGTGTTTTTATATTTTGTGCAACATTTATGGAGTGTCCCTTCTAAATATAAAATATAGATAAGTATAAAATTATTTTATATTCCGTCGCCACTTTTCGTAATTTATTCCATCCATTCTGTGTTATTGATGATGTTGTCCTTTCCTTACATTATTCACCCTTGTGAATTTTTAATTAAAACATTTTACATAAGTGTTTATTTTTAGAACGATGCTGAGTCAAAACACAACGGGTACATTTACAATGTTCTAACCTTTACACGGTACTGATTCAAATCCAGAAAATCAATATTCTTTTTGTAGAACACCTATACACTTAACTTTGCCTTTTTCTACTTCAAATGTTTTTTTATATATATATATATTTTTATATATATATATATATATATATATATATATATATATATATATATAAATACAATTTCAGATACGTATATTCCTGATAAAAACCCGCAATATATACTATATTCGAGTCAGAATACGAACTATCTGAAATGACAATGAAAAAACTCTTAACGTGTGCGCCGAATAGGCGGAGAGCTCGCTGTTTTCTTTACGTCACCCACACTCAATTATAATTTTTCTGCTACCATACAGCTACCACTAAAAAAATTTATTCCGAAAAAAAAAACTGCCGTCTGCGGTAGTCTCTAGATAAAACCAACCGCTGTGTGGTAAGGGGATAGGATTTTTATTAGGGGGTACTAGCAACTCCATTGGTAGCAATATTTCGTGTCGTCGTCTCTGCAGACCCCTAGAAATCGTCATAGTTAATTCATAATGAACTCATCACAATGCGCTGGCTGATTTAACTTGATTTTCACCTATTATTCTTCACTAGTACTTCATCGGTATAAACCAATAGCAGAGGCAGGATTAACATTCTCTTTTTTCATGATACTTAGAATGACAAACGAGATTAGAATTATTTTGTTTAATTCCTCTATCATTAGTATGCTTATGACTGCCTACACTCGAAAATTGACTACTATTATGTTAGACAATAATCTCCAATCACTATTCAGTCCACGCACGTTTTGTGACACGTGTTTCACTTCTAAACGAGGCATCTTCGGGCAAATCAGGTGAGCCGCATATTTGTTTACCCCTATGTTAATAAAAACATATAAAAAAGAGGACCGCCCACCTGATGAAAAGTGGTAACCGTACCGTGACGGTAAAAAGACGGTAAAATATAATCTCGGTCGTATTCCTCGACGTGATCGCCCGACACGACACGACCGTTAACGAAGCGTGTAAAGCGCAGCTGAATTCTGCATATCATAAGCATATTAACCGCTATTCATTTGTATTCAGCGGCTTAATTAAGGAGATTCAGCACATTTATTCAGGGTTAAGCGTTGGGTGAAGCGTGCACTTGAAACTAAGTGCATTCAGGCGGCTGTAATGAGGACGGCGAACTGCAAATGTGTCGCCCTGACCCCTCACCACTGCCCTCCCCTCCCCGCCCCTCCCACACCCTCACCGCCCGCTGCATAATGTATGGCTCTCGCGAATTAAACCAGAGCACTTGCGTCGCTCTCTGCCGCTGATACATGGCACGCACTGAATGGTGCTCCTTTAAACTAGGTCCGACCGATACCTCATTATTCAAAGGTCGCATTAATGCTGAAATTTATCTATTCACGTGTTAATGAAAAATAAGAGACTAGTTTTCCGTTTGGTCCCGGCATAGAATAGCCCATCCCTTCCTTTCCCATGGGTATCGTAAGAGGCGACTAAGAGAAGGCGAGGGATGGGCAGCAGCGTCCCTTTTAAAGCATCTTTAAATACTGACTGCGGTTGCTAATCTGCCTGTTAAGCATGCCAACTACTGGCAAAACCTCCCAAGGGGAAGGCTTATGTTCAGCAGTGGACAGTTAAAGAATGATATGATAAAGAGGATGAAGAGGATAGTTAAACAACAATAGAGATTATCAGATACCAAGATCCCTTCCAGATGCTTGCAATAACCTACATCGTAAACAAACACATATGAATTAGATTGGTTTAACTACCCACACTCTTTTACATACGGCTCTCTCATGTGACTAAGTCGGCGAACTGCTCGTGGACGTAACTAATCAATAAGTATAAATATAACGTTGGCCTAAAAAAATTGCTACACGAACACTCGTCATAATATTCAATTTGAAAACTTCTGTAAAAGGCTCTTGATGGTCGGGGGCCGGTGTGCGGGCGACACTGTCAAATTGGAGACATTAATCAACAGTTAGGGTGGAAGTTGAGCGGTTTTCCGATAATTGAATTGCACAGATAACTAATTATGTAAGCCGCTTCTACACGAGTTACCGTCGGCGGATTACGACCCTTCAATATACAATATAATCTATTACTTGTTTCTAAATATATTTCTATTTCCACCAGCGAAATTATACGCACCATCAATCAGTGATACTCGTAATAAGAGGCGCAACTCCCAAAAGTCTACTTCCATAGAAATTAATGAAAATGTGAACAAACGAATAACTGACCCGACCATAAGACAATTTGATCATATTCCATAGTAGTACAAAACAAAATCTATTAAGTGATAGTAATGGTTCGATTTATTACTAATTCTAATGTTTCTGTTATATTTTTAATCAAACTTGGTCACCTTTTCACTAAGTACCATTAAAACAGAGGGAGACTTTGTATAAAAGTCGTTTGCTTGAGTACCTCTGTCCCATTCGTGTTTTAACCATAAAGCAGTTGTGTTTGTATGGCTGTGTTTCGGTTTGAAGGGTGGGATATGGCATGAATTTACAGGGTACAGATGAATAACACCTGTGTCCTAAGGAATGGCAACGCATGGGAGGTATTATGGACGAAACAATATACTGTGTTATGTCCATGGTACTGTTCATGTCTATAGGCGACGGTTACCACTTTCCATCAGGTGGGCCGTCAGCTTGTTCGCCATTCTAAGTTGTATAAAAAAACAGATCATCGTATAAGTGTTGTTCTCAACACACTAATGTTATTCACGTTTCTTTTATAGGGTTTCTATCATAATATAATCTATATTTAAATCTAAATTGCTTGCTTCATTTACAATTACCTGAAACGGATATTGTTTTTGCAATAAAAGAGAATGGAATTGAATCTTAGAATCTTTCATTGGTTCAACATAGTGACCGTTGAATAAATAACATGGTGATCGAAAAGGGCGGGAAACGTTTAACATGGCGACATTCTAAAGAATGAAACTAAAATTTAAATACTTGACGCTGGCAGAAATGGTCGTAAAAATAAAGACCGATTGTCATTGAAGAAAAGAAAAGAAAAATAAAATACCTGAAACGTATAGTAAACCTATACTTTACAAAGTCATAAAATATAACAAATTTACCTAAATTGTCATTAAAAATATCAGTATCATCGTGTTTGAACATTGAGCAAAAAATAACCTGATAAGTAGCAACAAACTTCTTGATACACACGAGTGAATTTGAGGAGTTATTGCATAGATTTTTTTAAACAAATAAATACGATTATTATCGATCAATGATTTACAATCAAAAACATATAGATATCTAGTTTATATAGAAAAATGCCAATCAAATTTCGACCGTATACTAAATATGTAAAATATTGTTTCCAGTGCCATCGGCTCGGATCCTGGGCGGGCCGGACCTGCACGTGGACATCGGGTCGACGATCAACCTCACCTGCCTCATCCAGTTCAGCCCCGAGCCCCCCGCCTACATATTCTGGTACCATGAAGACGAGGTGAGCGGACGCAAAGTAATTATTCACAACATATCTTATAAACTATTATAAATATAAAGAAATATAAATATTTATGTAGGAAAATATAAATACTTACTAATATTATAAACTAGCTAGATCCCACGGCTTCACCTGTGTGAATCAATACATAAAGTATTCTATGTGCTATGTATTTCATTCAAATCTATTAACGGAAATGAAAGAATAATAAATATCCATCCATCATTCCTTCCTTACAAACTTCGCAAATACAATATTAACAGGATATGAAAGTTTATAAAGATGTTTAAATTATATTTACACGTTTGTATGTTTGTTACTCAATCACGCTTGAACGACTGAACAGATTTTAAGAAACTTCATAAACTAGGTAGTATAGTAATTTAGTAACTAACTAACTAACTAGTAATAATAACTTAACACATAGGACAGTTTATATACTGATTGAAACAGCTACAAAGAAATAGTTAAATAAAAACCGATTTCAAAATTCTATAAAGAACACCACAGATCAAACAGCATTTTGATATTTTTTTTTTATTTAGTCTTTTTTTTACGCTGCCATGCTTAAAATCATAATCATCTCGTGTCAAATACATATTTTGTTATCCATTAGGTGGGACTCTCATATGGAAATATAAATATTCGTATATAGATTAAGCAATATTGTTAGCAATAACTTTCTTAATATTGTTTCAAATAGTTTTCTATTAATACATTACAAAAATTAACTGATACGACAACGTAACTTTAAGGTTAAAAAGGCCGGCAGCACACCTGCAATGCCGTTGGTGTTGTGGGTGATCATGGGCGACGGTAGTCACTTACCATCAGGTGAGCCCCATGCTCGTTTGCCCCCTGTGTTGTAAAAAAAAAATATTAGACATATTATAAAAATTTCAATTAATTGCCACAATATCTACAGAATTAGAGACTTCAGATAAATCTAAGATTATTATAAAAAAATAATAAACATCAATCTATCTGAACAAAATTTGCACAGTATTTGACAATACAGAGATCCGTTAAAGCGGCAACTACTCGGTATCTCGTCAGCTAATAAGACGGCTGCATAATCAATGCATTATATTAACGCATTTAGGCCAATTGATTGATGACCTGCGTACACAAATGCAGACATCACTCCGACACGACAAACAGAGACGGATGTCAAATGTTTCGCTGTCACACAGTAACTATACAAGCCTATTATACGATTTCGCCTTGCTATAAAGACGGCAACTTCAATCTAATAAAATTAATATGAAACCATGCTGTAGTTCATCGGTAAGAGTCGACACTCGTGGTAATAAAAAAATACTATTTAAAAATGCTTAAATCTAAATTTACTTGAATAAAAATATTTCTTTCTATCCCCCCGCGGGCTTAGAGTACCATCTGCACTTGCCCCTATACACGCGCCCGGTGAAGCCGTCAAGTCTATCTGCAGCCAATAACAAATACAGCTCGGAAAAAAAGCATTGTAAAACCTGTTAAGAGAATTATAAAAATCAATTAAGAATTTACGAAATTATAATGTAACATATACACAAAATAAGTATGGAAATAAACCCTGTTGCGAAAATTATAAAACTCAATTGAGAATTTACAAAATTATAATGTAACATATACACAAAATAAGTATGGAAATAAACCCTGTTGCGAAAATTATAAAACTCAATTGAGAATTTACAAAATTATCATGTAACATATACACAAAATAAGTATGGAAATAAACCCTGTTGCGAAAATTATAAAACTCAATTGAGAATTTACAAAATTATAATGTAACATATACACAAAATAAGTATGGAAATAAACCCTGTTGCGAAAATTATAAAACTCAATTGAGAATTTACAAAATTATCATGTAACATATACACAAAAACTACAGGACAGGCGAATTGAAAACGCCTTTCTTTTAGAACTCGGTTTAAAACCCAATTCACTGTACAGGTAATGTAATTAGAAAAGATTAAGTTTCATTGCACATAAAACGAAAATAACGCCACGAAACTTAATAAAATATAGAAACAAAATAACGACTAGATCGTAAACATTTACAACGATGCCTCAAAATCGTGCTAACTATCTACACCTATTTCTAACTTCGCCAATTTAAGTATATGTGTTAAATGTGACATGACTAAATAGAATAGTATTTGCCACTATTATTTATTTCTTAGTAGTATTTATTTATACCTATGAATCTAAACATGTTGAATTAATGTATGAATATTATCTAGGAAAGTAGAGGAATTGATAATTATACATAGCTCCAAAGTTATCCCCAAATATATCCCTAGCGACATCTTCCCGTTGAATTTATCCACAGTACCTCGTCCGTTGCTCCCGCTAATAACTACATGTACGAAAGGATACGAGAGCTGCATGGAAATGAGTAATCTTCGCTTAAATACCACACTTCATTAAGATAATACAAATTCAAATAGCACCCCCCCCCCCCCCCCTCCGCCCTCCACACTCAGTGTTGAACCCCACGCACGACTGTACAACGAGCTGGGGCCTGCGTCGACAATAGAAGTGTTCCGTCACGGCGTATATACAAAGGTATATACAACGCGGATTCATATGAAAGGAGAAAACATACCTTTGATGTTGTATTCGATATTAATATTTACATTCAATGCAGTTTCTTACCGGCGCAGCTTTCAAAACATAATGAATACTCTTTGAGCTTTTGATTATTAGTAGATATTATTGCCTTGAACTTGGAGAATATGATAAATTAATAGAAAACTATTAGAATAGGCAAGTAAGCATAAAACTCTGGGATAAGAGAAACATGACAACGTAAAATTGGGAGGTTACTCCAAAACAACAGCCCGAATTTATGAAATCCAAAACTCTTTTTTACTATATCTAACATGTATCTCCACTATAGCTGTAGGATCACAGCACTTAATATAACAAGGTAAAAGATCTGTCACGTATCGGACACAACATATACAGGGTGAATCGAAATAGTTCGCATATTTTGAAGGCGGTGTTGACAAAAATGTTGAGCTCCCATACTAACACAGCTCGTCCAGCTGTGGTTTTTTGTGTTGCTGAATTTTTAATTTGTGAAATGTTTGTGAAATGTTCTATAGCGTGGGTAGGTTCCGCTAACAATTTCGGTTTCGTCCTGAGTAGCTAAAATTAACAGTTTCGCCCGTAGAATGATGATCAGCGGCAGTTGTTTACAAGGCATTGGCACTAATTAGTCTTAATTGGTTAGAGGCTCGCTCCTCCGCTCCGCGCCGCGCCGGTGACGGTTCGGAAAAGTTTACGCGAATTAATTTGCGAGTGTTACTGAGCGACATCTGCGCAGACGCCGCTCCGCGCGCTTTATTAGTTCGCTAACTGATTACACGCCTGAATACTAATACACAAATTGAGAAAGTTATTAAATGAAATTAGAATATGTAACGCCAGCCGCCAAACTCGACTCTAACCGAGCCTTAACGTTCAATAATCATTTATATCTAGATTAACTCAAAATTATGCTGTATTTTAAATGCACTAAAACATTTCTGATGCATTCCAAAATCCCTAACATTGTTTTCAAGTTGATCGACCATTGAATGAATGAATGAAAACTCTTTATTGTTCCTAACAAAGAATGATACATATTATAAAGATTAACAATATGTACACAAACAATAAATGTTTGATTACATAAACTTGATTACATGAAAGCAAGATAAAGAGGCAACAGTGGGCGGCCTTATCGTTAAACAGCGACTATATTTATAACTTGATCGTGTTCTTTATTAATAGAATATTAAGATTGGTGTATTTTTTAAATTTTAATGGCTTTTATAATTTCACTTATATTGTCTTACATCTAATTTATCTTTTATATTCATTTCGTTTATATTGAAATCGGTTTTTGTTTAAAACAAATTCTTATTCTCCACAAGGATAACTATAAAGTTTGGCTCTACTTGACATAATCATACATTTAAATAGATAACAAAACTTTCTATACTTATTTTGATATTAAATAAATTAAAAAGAGCCTGCTTGAAGAACTTGAACTCTGGCTAAATTTCGCGTCGCAATTTCTGCATGAAATTATGCCGAAAAACTTTGAATACCAAAAATAGTTTTTATACATTGCAGTATCTAAGTAGAAACAATTTACCACGCTTAGTTTGCATACAGGCTGAGATACGTGCGTCGTATATTACCGTCTATATCTCTGATACAAGATACGTGTGTGCGCGCACCGGTACACATCTTTGCTTGTCTTTCTGTGCGTGCTGGTGTGTGTGTGTGACAATGTGGGATGCGGTTGTGGTGAAGCAGGTGATATCGTACGACTCGTCGCGCGGCGGCGTGTCGGTGGTGACGGAGAAGGGCGCCGCCACCACGTCGTACCTGCTGGTGCAGGACGCCGCGCCCGCCGACTCCGGCCGCTACTCGTGCTCGCCCTCCAACGCGGAGGTCGCCTCCGTGCGGGTGCACGTGCTCAATGGTAACTACTATAAACACATATGTACATTATTTTAAATAATTGTTTATACTGCTTACAGCTTACCTGAACGAAAGTGGTAACCGTCATCTATAGACTTGAAGCACCACGAACATCACACAATAACATGTAGTTTTTCTTACATCTTTTGCATTATATAGTTCATTTACATATATAAAAAATCTATCTATCGAAAGCATCGTGAGCGTAAAATGCATCCCTGTCTTATAGGGGCACGCTATCTTATTAAAGCTCTTAAAGACTCGAATCGGAGCCATACTTAATGGGGGCTTGTGACGTGCGCAGGTGAACGTCCGGCGGCGATGCAGACCGGCTCGGCGGGGCTGTCCAACAGCTCGCACTGCATCATCGCGCTGCTGGCGGCGTGCGCGCTGCACGCGCGGCTGCTGCGCGCGCAGCTCGCCAGCTGATCGCGCGCGCCCGCCGCCGCGCGATAGTCGCCTCGCATCGCGCACGCCACGTCTCCATGTGTTTTATTAACGTTTCGTGACCGACTCCGCACAATGTGCATAGTGAATTATTCAAATAAATGTTACGAAATTTCTCGTCTAAATAATTTTAAGCGGAAACTTAGTTTTCGATTAAGTAAATGAAATTATTTAAAGAGGTTAGATATAATATTTAAGATTTTTATGATGAGCGAATATGTAACGTCAAATCACTGTGATGAATGTTGATTGCATTAAGATGTAAACCAGATCACCGCGACACGCGGCGCTGCTGTCGCGCTTAAATTCTAGTATCCTAGGATCATGGGCGTAGCTAGGGGGGCTAAGGTGGACTGTGGACCCTTCCCCGAGGTGACCCTCTCCCTAGAAAAATTAGTTTATTTCTACCGTCACCAGAATTAGTGGTAATGAAAATTGGTTAATTGTGATTGCCCGTGTAACTTAATGTTCCACAGAGAAATCTAGCTACGCCGATGCCTAGCAATGAAAATATTATACATAATTGTACTGTTGCATCCTCCTTTAATGTCTCCTAGGACATTTTACAGCGTGTAATGTTCTGTCATGGATGTGTGTACATGTTAACGATACCATATAAGTACTTGTATATCGACGGCTGTTAAATATTGCGTGGTAAGGCCGAGCGTGCAGTAACAAGTAGCGTCAATGTTTACTAGTAATACATTATAGACATTAAGCGAGAAGTGGAACATGAAGAAAGTGGAAGTGAAGAAGCAAGACATGTACATATAAACAGAAATCTCAAGCACTCGGTTCTCTCTGGCTACCCCGTAAAGGGTTCGTGAAACTATATAAATAGATATATATCTAGCTATTGTTTTAGATTCTTTCATAAAGCGCCGAATAAATACATTTTATATACTTAAAAGCTACAATTTCATCGACCTTATAACAGTCCACTGCCGAACATGAACTTCCCTCTTGGTGGGTTTTGCCAGTAGTTGCCACGCCTGACAGGCGGGTTGGCAACTGCAGTTAGCCTTTAGAGATGTTTTAAGAGAGACGCTGCTACCCATCTCTCCACCATAAGCTCCCTTAGTCGCCTCTTACGACACACACGGGAAAAGAAAAAGTGGCCTATTCTATGCTAGGACAACACGGCAAAAATTGTACCTATTACGTGTATGAAATGTGTCCGGTGTTGGATAAAGAAGGACATTTATGTTTTAGCACAATTTCTATTTTAAATCTTGATAGGTAAGTTTTTACTGGTATTTTAGTAACATAATAATAATAATAAACACTTTTGTATGTCGACCGACTATACCGACTGTCTTGGCCTTACCACCCGACGTACCTCTATACTCAGTATGTACCCATCTCTGTTATAACAATTGTAAATAATAGTCTCCCAGAAATAAATAGGAAACAATTTACTTCAAAAACAAATAATGGACGATGTATGTTGTTGCTCCCGACGGGGATTGTAAATACATAATGGAATATGGATGTTGTAACAAATGCAAGTTATAGATCTATTATAGTGTATATTAATAATGTCGTTAGCTAATAAAGGTATCATTCGTTCGTTCGTTCATTCGTTCGATTACTGAGCGGCCAGCACGAGATGAGATGCACAAAGATAGACATCGCGACAAGGTCCGTTCACACAGACCGGCTCGGAGAGGAGAACAGATTTAGATCGCGTTTAAAATAAAGATGGTTATTCGATTAGAATTATTTTGTTTAACTCCGCTACCACTAGTATGCATGCGATTGCCAATACTCGAAGATCTACAACTACTGTTATTAGTAAACTTTCTACAACGTTCCACATTAGCTATCAATTTCAGGTTGCCATTTATACAGATTGCTGCTCGGAACAAACGATTGATAGGTTTGTTTAAAATAGAGTTTTAGAATCATAGAAATAAGATTTATTTTCACACCTCACTGCTTTTAGTACATAAGAATGCTCGAGAATCTATATAAAAGAAAAGTGAAATGTAAAAATAAAATTAATTCAATAGTCTAAAACTCTATATAAAATGCTCTCCTCTCCGAGCCGGTCTGTGCGAACGGACACTAAGTTTGTACTAAAAACTTAGTTGCGCCTCTAGCGGATAGATTCGGAAACTCAGATTTTAATTCAAAATTCGAGTAAACATGTAAACATGAACAAGATCTTGACGTAAATCTTTGTACTACTTATAATAGACACTGTGGACGTGTCAGCAACGATGGACCACAGCACAAATCGGTTTAGTGTGGGGTCCTATAAATAGAACAATTCAATAATTAACTATATGGCAGTGGTGCCCCTTAAATAGTATATTTCGCACCATGCCTCCTGACCAAGTAACAATTGACAATCATAGAAACACTCGACGCTGTTTCTTTTATTATTTAAAATTTTAGTACAAAATATTTTCTAATACCGATATTTGGCTGCTAAATTATTGAGCAAATTAGCTAAATTAATAGAAGTCATGAATAATTTCATACTAGGACTCTACATTGCTGCCACGCCGCAAACTTACACACTTGAATATAAGTGGTAATTCACACACCACTGATTTACAGATTTACTGCAATTTGATAAGCTTCTCGAAAGTACTGTTACCATTTCGAAATTTGAAAAATCTAATTTTTTATAACAATAAAGTGAAATTTTCTTCATTAATAGAATCATTTTGCAAGAATTTCTAACAATAATGTAATCTTAATTAAAACGGTCATTCATTCCAAATTCACGAATTCCAAATGTAGGTAAATGCGAACTCCTCATACATCAAGACGAATGGTAACCCCCATGAGAATGCTAACTCTAATCAATTTATTATGTAAATGTAACAATCTCACGAGCCCTTAACAAAATTGTTAATTTAATTTCATTATATTCAATTCTTAGTAAAATTTTGTATTTAAAATACGAACAAATAAATATTAATTTATCGTAAATTATAATTTAATTATAAAAACGTCGTGGAACAGCCATGAAGCCACAAGGCTGACAGATAAAAATGATATAATATGTAATACTTAGGTAATACTTTTTTTTTATTTATTACATACATTATAGATAGAGCATCGAGTTTCAAAAACGGATCAACTTTTTGTCAGCACATTGTCAAATTAGCTGACTCGTTTTTTTTATCAGTGTTCTATACACTTACGCATACAATGTATCTTAACGTATTATTTAATAAATCAAATGAGTGCTTACGTATTAAAAAGATCCAGAAATTATAAGACAAAACAAATATAGAAGTTATAAAGGAAACACTACTACAAAGTAACCAGAGGGAGACTTTGTACAAAAGTCGATTGCTTGGGTACCTCTGTCCCATTCGTGTTTCAACCGTGAAGCAGTTTTGTTTGCATGGCTGTGTTTCGGTTTGAAGGGTGGGGTATGGCGTGAATTTACTAGGTACAGAGGAATAACACCTGAGTCCTCAGGAATGGCAACGCATGGGGGGTATCATGGGCAAAACAGTATACTCTGTTATATCCATGGTGCTGCTCATGTCTATAGGCGACGGTTACCACTTTCCATCAGGTGGGCCGTCAGCTTGTTTGCCATTCTAAGTTGTATAAAAATAAAAACACTCATAACTATTGATCACGCAAAATTGCATGAAAAAGTTGAGCCGCTTTTCACGAAGTATTTGTATGGAGACACTCTATCTATATAATCTAAGGATTATTTTAAATTATATTAGAACAATGATTTTTTAAAGAAATAACGTTACACGCCCGTGAGGTAGACATATTCTTTATTCCGTTTATAAATTTCACCATGTTCTCAAATAACTTAAAAGATATACAAATGCACTAATCAATATTAGATGCTCTAATGAGCATCTTGTTCTAGCTTCATTCTCGGCGCGCTTGTGAACTATCACCCTTTATAATTTATTATAATATCATTTACCGTGAGACTATCACGTGGAATATTCCGAATGAATGTTCGTATCCACACACGTGGAATTCAATACATGTCACGTACTTATAAATCATTTACCCAAAGTAACGTTTTTTGTTCATAAAACTAAGAACCGATTTGCACATAGAACCTGCATTTCAGTTTAAATGACCTACAAAATTTTTATGTTATTCAAAACAAAGCAAAACAGCTATACAACCGTGGTGTAATTAATATAGAATCAAAACGGAAGTAAGCCTTATCGATGGCAAAAGGAATTATCATAATCGGTTCAGAATTGGAGGAAATTATCACGTCATATGTAAGAAAGTAGTTAACTAACATTATAGTTTAATGCTTAATTTTAAACTTTCGTATAATTTACACATTCGTATTTATACTCTATTGGGACTTAGCAGAATGAAAAATTTTGCAAGTAAATAATACTTACATACCTGCTTCTTTGTTGCCGCCATTTTGACGTGGATGGCACAACGTTGTGGTCATGGCGGGACCACGTCGAGGTAATTATATTATTATAGTTTCATTTCCAAATAAATGAATCAGTCGCGTGTATTGTTAATTGTTAAAACAGATCGTGGAGCCACTTACGGACGTAATTACTTTAGCATATGAACAAACAACTATTGTTATGGATTTAAAATAAGTTGTTTAAGAGCCCGTGGTAACAAATTTTCTTACTTCGATTTCTATTTATTAATTATAGTTGTCGTTTGCATTTATTTCTTTCCAATAAATTAAGTTTTTTATACATATCTACGAGGTGTTTAACGAATTACGTTTTGTATAGATATTTACGTAATTTCTAATTTATTTATCAAAAAAAATTCGATATGCTTTGTACTGTTTTTTTTTTACAACACGGGGCAAACGAGCATGCGGCTCACCTGATGGTAAGTGACTACCGCCGCCAATGGTCACCCACAACACCTAAGGCATTGCATTGTCCAATAAATACTAAATAATTGTCAATATAAAATAAATAATGTGCCACGTTTGCTATATTTTGATACTTCATACACCATCAAATATATATGATCATATCCGAATGTCTCAATATACACAGCTCATAGTATATTTTCAATAGACAGCAGTATAATGTTTCCAGTATCATCAACTAACCCACCTTGAATTTATGACCTATCAATATACATTATACTCTTATGTATTTGATAATGTAGCTATCACTAAATTTGATAATAAAATAAGTACTCGGGGCTAAAAAAAATTATTAAAACATAATTATATTCAATGGTAAATGGGGCTTATAAATTAAATTGAAAAAACACACACACACACAATCTACTTGACTTTTATATTGTTATATTCTATTTGTTGTCGCCGGTAGATACAATTTCACTATCATAGGCATAAGATAGTACGAGACAGCAATGTCTGCGTCTAGTTCTATCTCATGCATGCACTTTTTATGATTTTTTTTTGTAATAATAACCGAGGACATTTTGATAGATTTTGATAGACATTTAAAAATTTTGCCACAAATAATTTAATTATTATGCGATGACTCCTGTCATGAAGCATCAAATCTATCATTAAGCATATTTAAATCAGTCTAAAAACCTAACAAATATGATAAACTACGATACACAAGCGAGATTTATTTTTCGGCAGATCGATATATTGTAATTACTCTAATACTTACGTGTTTATTGTAAAGTTTTGTATTAAGTTTGTCCAAGAATACACTTGCCCTACCCTGTTTTTAATTATCTATAATTACAAGTTAGTAAAGGTCGAACGATTTTTGAAAACGTTCTGATGTATGTTAATAAGCAATTGTAAATTACGAGTAATACAAAATTGAAAATGTTTTTGTATAGAATACAATGTAAATATACATATAAATATAATAGAACAAAGTTTTACAATAAAATTGAACTAAGTAGACGCCGGACACTATGAAATGTATGATACGGAGATTATGTATGTAAGACATAAAACTTTATGTATACATAAACCGAATAAGTTTGTTTTCAAATAAAATATTTAATATTTAAGTAAAGCATTATTTTATTTGCCTCCCGATGTCAGTTACCTGCTATTAGATTGTAGTGAACCACTAAACAAAAGTGAAGTGAAGAACTGTAAACATTAGAAACCATTTAATTAATTCAAATGGATTTAACTGTATATATTTATAGTGTGAAAGTAAGTAATATAATGCCTATCATAATTGTTACAGTATTATAATTTAAAGGACAATAAAGTCAAGTAACTGAGAGTAGTGAGGTCACATACTTTCTATATAACGAGGGTGGCCTATCAGACATGCAGTGTACCTGATGATAAATGCTCACAGCATCCCTTAAACTGTTACAATACCAGAAACTATAATTGGATTATTAATTAACACGAAAATCTTAAGAAGTTTATATACTCAAACGCCATATCACATACTAGGAGAGCAGAATCACGCAGGAGGTGTCAACATATGTGGTTTAATTAGACGTTGTATTCTCAAGGCGACAAATATTATTTTATTGTGCCTTTAATACTAATTTATATTATATGGAAAATTGCATTCCGCCTGTCTAGTAGATAACGTTCTCACCTCCTGTATGGTTCTGCTCATTTAGTACTTTATGCAAAGACAAATGTCTTAGAAAAGTCAAATCATTTTACGAAATTGTTTAAAAAAAAAACAAATAGTCATTGGAAAAGAAAAATAGCAGGTAGGATTAGTTATCTGTTCTATTACTTATTAACCAATGATGTACCACTGCTGGGCAAAGCACTAATTACTTAATACATTTTGCAATTCTAAGATGCATAAAAATAATTATGTCCAATTTGCCGAAGGTCTACATATATAAAATTAATTTTGATTTTTTTAAACACATGAAAAATAAGGTAAGTACTATAAACGGCTAAAACCAAATAAATTATATGTCTTTATCAAAATAGCGTAACGTCGCATCGAATGCCATCGTCTCATTCCGAGGCACACGTAAAAGGATAAACGGCCGTCCGCTCGTCGTCGGTTTGGTTAACCTCAATTCTAATCACGAGCGGCTCCATCGCATCGGGATGTAACTGCGAAACTTCGCTAACGAGATCAATTTGATCAGCCTCTTCTTGCCGCTGTGATTTATTACAGCCGCTTGATCGATTCGTCCCAAACGCCACACCCCGGCGACGGCGCTAAAGCGATGACGGGCCTTCACTTCCACGTACGCCGATGCCCATTTTATGATACATTGTAATTTCTACTCTGGACGACTGATCCCATATACAGTTCAACGATGTAGCAGTAAATTGGAATGTTCGTGAACGCACTGTACAAGAAAACGGTCCCAATCAAGAGTTAGTATCTCTAGTCTAGTTAATTTAACGAGACCACACGAAAAAAACACAATACTTCCAAGTACCATTTACTAGATTAAGTAAAAATCAAACCGACTTTAAAAAATGAAACAAAAACTGTAAAACTCATTAAAAAGCGATCAATAAACTGATTACTTATTGTTACCTATTAATTTAAATAAAATATTACATTTACCTGATCCGTTTGAAGTCGGTTAAAAAGTATTAACGTATTAAAGCTATTGATAATATAAATAAGAACTTAATTTAATTCTATGTTATTTTTTATTAATTTCACAAAAATACTTTAATGAGGTGATGGATAAAGACATATAGAAAGAAAGATTCTTAAGTGGGAACCCCATTCAGGCTAATATAATGAGAGCGACCTCCTGCGACATGAAGTGACGACTTCAAAAGTGTTGAAGAGTGTAACATACTTATGTACGACCCTATGTCGCTGCGCAGGATTGTATTTTGCAACGCACGGAATATACGAGAGCCCTATATGGCCTTCCGTGTATTCCGCAACGGTATTTTGTTTTTATAATGGATGATAATGGAATGGTAACCCCTGCGCTAACGGTATACACTGACGGGGCACCAATGAGGGAGGATGAGGTGAGAATGAAAAAGCAGGTTAATTAGCCCTACGTGCTGAATACACCTGAAATTCAGCACGATGGTTTCTAAGGGGGACCATGGGGAGGACGAACTGATAGGGTATATTGCTAGCAATGAGATTGATAGTCCCTATTATTAACAATCTCTTTCCCTCCTCCCGCAACGGTATTTTTTTGATGGGTGAAAATGTTATGGTAACCCCGCCTGCGCTAACGGGATGCGCTGGCGGAGCACCAGTGAAAAGTGATAGATGAGAATGTAAACAGGCCAGTTAGCCTATCACGATGAATTCATCAGGAATTAACCATGATAGTTTCCAGGGAGAACCGAGAGGAGGTCGACCTAGTTGAGTATATTGCTAGAACTGAGATTCTCAGTCTCCATTACCAACAATCCCCTCCCTCCTCCCGCAACGGTATTAGGCCACGACAGCGGACGATAGATAGATTCAATACTTATAATAAAGGTGATGAAGACTCAAGGATAATCCCAAGATACAGGTAAATAATAAAAAAAAACCTTAAACTAAATTTAATGAGTAAATTATATTATTAATTAATTTACATTACTGTATACTCTGTTATATGCTTGGTACTATTCGTGTCTATAGGCAACGGTTACCACCTTCCATCAGATGAACCGTCGGGCCATATCATCGCCGTCATTGTGTAAAGTAGAACGTAGAGCTCAGCTGCCACAGAAAACGGTCCCGGGACACCTGCATCAATGAAGGTTATCCTCATATCATAAATAAATTAATATACTTATATAGTCTCACACCGATATTTCCCAAAGCATTGAAATAAAAAAAGATGTGAGGCGGCGTCAGTTATTACTGGATGCAGGATGGTGAAATATAGTAGCATAATAAAAACACTGAGTTGGTAAACAACACGTGCGAGCATAATATGGCTGTGTAGTGTGTGTGTGCAGACGCGGACGTAAATAAAATTTGCAGGTACTCATTAAACAAAGTTTAATAATAAAACCACTGTGAAGCCCTCCGTTTAATTTTATGAGTATACGCAGAATCGTAAAGTTCGTACCGCACGCGTATTCGTACGCACACGCCTCCCCTGGAGGGACGTAATTGTTATTCATCTTTGATAACTCACTCGCCGTGCAAAAACTCTCAGGTTAACGTAGTTGTTTGCGCCCTTTTGCCCTATTTGTTACATGTGGATGCACTCATTTGTGGGCTCGCTATGCCTTTTTATGCAGTAACCAAGGACTTTACAAATACAGTGAGACCTTCCGCAAACGAGAACAGTCCTCGCTGCGTCGACTTTATTTCCAGTCATATAGCGTTGAAATAGGCGCGCGGATACGTGGCGAATCGCCGACAAACACATTGGGTAAAAGCCTATCGTAATATTATATTTACCAGAGACTCAGCGTTATCAGGGGGATTACGTTTAATTGCGTACATGTAGATACGTTGTCGTTGTCAGGAACCAAAACAGGTTGTTTTGTTGTTTAAAGTTTGTACTTACACTACACAATATAATTTTTATTGAAAAAGTTATAATTGAATGATTAAGGGCCCCGGTACGATCGCGAAATTAGTCGATTATTATATGTATTTTTAAATGCCCCGTGTTATAAAAATACTTTTTTTAATACGGGGTAACCGAGCACGCAACTAATGCTAAGTGACTATCGCCACAGACACACAACATGGGGGGAATTGCAAGTGTGCCTTTTAAATGGGAATATGCTCTTTTCTTGAAGATTACTATAGTACATTACTGCAGCGGCCAGCAACTGAGGCATTGATTAATGAACATGGAAATGTAGGCCGAGGTGTAGCCGAGGCACACATACGTAAGTCCATCAATGCCTAGTTGTGGCCAAGGCTTGTATAGTACTTTTCTCAAACAAAGCGCGTAAATCAAAAACACAATTTTACTTTTTAAGTTAAATGACGAATAACGAACAAAATAATTAATCACGCGCCATAATGTTCCTTTGTTTTTTTTTTTCAATAAACTGCTTTCTTTTTGCAAGCCAGTTCGAAATTTAAATAAAAATAGTACATTACTGCAGCGGCCGGCAAGAGAGGCATTGATGGACGAACGTGTGAATGTGGGCCGAGGGGAACCCGAGGCACACATACGTGAGTCCATCAATGCCTAGTTGCGGCCAAGGCTTGTATAGTACTTTTATCAAATAATGTGCGGAAATTATTCAAATTCCCGTCATGTTTCATTAAAATTGTGAATTTTAGCATTGAATAGATGACCCAAAGCGTTGTTGGCTTCACTTTCTTGGCGAGTTCGCCGAAATAAGCCAGAAAAACATTTCCGGATAAGGATTTCGATTTTCTTTCATTCTTCCATTGAACAAAATTTTCATAGATTTTCAAATATTTTTCTTTAGATTTTGGCGGCAACAAGTTTTCTACTACGGCTCTTGCTGCCTCTTGAATTTCAGGTGGCATTAAAATAATTTCATTACACTCATTGTCTTCACTTGAACTCATTTTGTCAAATACAAAAGTATTTAAAACCAATGATGAAGTTGACGAACAACTAATAACAATAGTTTTTTACGCGCCAAAATATTATTTTTTTTCACTAAACAGCTTTCTATGTGCAAGGCAGTTCGAAATTTAAATTAAACCTTTGATAAGTTACCTCTTTGATCGCCATGTTGCGGAGTAGAAGATCGTTCCATTTTTAAATTACACGACAAATATGATTTTACATAGTAATTTATTTGGCCGCTAAACACGACAGATATGGATTTTCATACAACTATTGCCGGCCGCTGCTCGACCAGTACCGCAAGTTCGACTTATCTCGAAGAAGGTTGTCAAAATAATGCTCAAATTTCTAAGCATGTTTGAGAAAAAATTATTAGTTACCTCCTTGGTAGCCATGTTTCGAAGTAAAAGGTCATTCCATTTTTAAATTACAGGACAGATATGAGTTTACATAGTATTTTATCTGGCCACAAAACACGACAGATATGGATTTTCATACAACTTTTGCCGGCCGCTGCTCGCATGTATCTGGCCAATACGGCAATTTTGATTTATCTCGAAAAAGATTGTCAAAATAATACTCACATTTC